GTATAAAGACGTGCTGGCAGATTAATTGGCTTCTTTGTCCGATGGACTGGCATCTCTATTTTGCCATGTGCCTGTTACTTGCCAGTGTAGGCTCCACCTCCCTGCAATCCTGTATTGGGTAAAGAGGTTATAACATGAATTGATGGATGGGTTTCATTTTTTTTCTCTAACTATGGTTCATCCTGGATTCTTTTATAATGGTGCCATTCTCCAATCTGTGTTTCTGTCACAAGTGTGTTTTTTTTATCTGTGTTTTAGTGCCTTTTTCTTAAGCCTTTTTCTTCAGGGAATGTTTTATCCGAATTCATATTATCATATGCTGTAAGTGTCCATGGAAAAAAAAAAAACTTTGGTCTGCGTTGATTATGTTATTTTTTTGTGTTGAAATATGGAGCAACAGTGACCTGGAAAATTAGTACAATTCTTTATTAGATGACATTGATTGCACAGCATCTAGATCCTGGGTATAAAACTGTTCTAACAGGCCCTATAACAGAACAAATCTTTTGTTAGAGTCTGTTTTTTTCAGGGTGCAGCCATCTCTTAGGTGTGTTAGCTATAGTGAAAAGTGTTTTTTTTTGGGGGGGGCTGATAATTGTTTATAGCACCAGAAAAGCTATCATCCTCATCTCTGTGGTCCCTTAAGTTGAGCCACAATTTCCTGTTTTGCTGTTAAAGATGTAACCATAGACAGGCTACACTCAAATATTGTTTTATATCCTTGTATATTTTGTATTCTCTTTCAGCTCAGATTGTCTTTCAGAGGTAGAAAAACAGAAAAACAAACTTCTGAAGAGGTCATTAAGAAAATGGGAATATTAGAAGGGTTGCAATCGAGATGGAGATATTCATATTGTGTTAATCATTTGGTAACTGATACCAGAAACTCATGGAGCTGTTCTTAAAAGGATCCTGACAAATCAATTGGTGATGCATATTATCAGAAATAAACACTTAAAAAAATATTACTAAATATAGAAATAATAAAATAAAACAATGAAAAAAATATTGGGAAGTTTTTCTTGTCTGTTGCAACTTTCAGCAATTACATATCAATCTTTTTCTAAGTATTGTATTTTTAACCATAGCATGGCTATGTGAGCATTTTTGCAGGGCAAGACAACGGCTTTTATTGAGTAATACAATATGCATTTATTAATTAATAGTGACATTTGCGTAAGTAAGGAAACTGAAAGCAATAAAGTAAGTGCTCACTTGTTTTTGTCATTCAATGAGAGAAAATTAGATAAAATCTCAATGTTCTTGTTGTTGGAAATTGCATACAAATTGCATACAAATGACTCTACGGATTACTTAGTTTGTGCTTATCCTGGGTTACAAGCACTTGCTTCTGTAAAGTGTTGTACTTTTGGAGAGAGAAGTGCTCTGAACTTACAGTAGCTGTAGGATATTTGGTTGTTCCAAGACAGAGATCACCTGAAACAGTGGCACAAGAATAACACACAGTAACACCCATATAAGTTGTTATTTTTAGAGAAACATAAGCAAGGTTTGCTGTCATTGGAGTAAGGTAAGTTATAATAAGATTTTCAAAAACAAGCAAATGCTTTTTCAAGAATGCTTTTTCATGAATCTCACAGAGAATGGTCCATTAACAGCTTCTGTTAATACCTGAACTGAGCTGAATAGACCAACATTAAGTGATTGCTGATTTTTAAAGCTGATTAAAGTTACATGTTGGTAGCTTAGTTCTACATGTGAAATAATAATAAGAAAAATCAATTATTTGTTCAGTAGCGAGATTAACAAAGGCTAAGGAAAGGTTTCCAATATTTGCACGACCCATGTAATCATTTTTATTAAAAAGCAGCTCCTCAAACTGAGTATTAGCAAAATCAAAGCAATATTTTCCTCCAAATGGACAATCTCATGAGTAATGACTTAAGATAACTGATTATGACTTCAACCCCATGAATGTTCTTTTACATTTGTAAATCTACCTGTAGATGTCCAACCTGAAGCTGAATACAGCTAAGATTCATTATCATACTTAAACACTTAATTAGTACATGAAGGAGACTTCATTTGTCAGGAGGAGCATTTTTTACAATGCTCAGCATAACCCATTTTCAAATGGGCTTCTTCCATCCTAACTCAATCCATGAGCTATTTTGAGACACCCTTGAGGTGCCAGATAGAGGCACAGTTTAAGTGTGCCTTGGCCTGATTCAAATTTGAGCACCCGGAGGTCAAAGACTTCCTGCAAGAACTTATACATGTACCCCACATAATGAGCCCTGAAATATTCAAGCACACAACTGATCAGGCATGAATCTCACAGAGAATGGTCCATTAACAGCTTCTGTTAATACCTGAACTGAGCTGAATAGACCAACATTAAGAGACTGCTGATTTTTAAAGCTGATTAAAGTTACATGTTGGCAGCTTAGTTCTACATGTGAAATAATAATAAGAAAAATCCATTTTTCGTTCAGTAGCAAGATTAACAAAGGCTAAGGAAAGGTTTCCAATATTTGCACGACCCGTGTAAATCATTTTTATATAAAGCATTTTTTTTTCTTCACAGAAACTAGAAATACAATGATGATGCTGCACTTTACTCATTGGGTGACTGACAATCAAAAACTACTGTTTCGCTAATTGATGTCATCATAGCTATAAAAATGGGTTTAATGCTTCAATATACAGTAACCGTTATGAAAGAACAGTGCAATAAACAAATACCTTTTTAGCATTACAAACATTATGCAATATAAAAAATCTAAAATTTAACTTGCAGGGACAGCTATATCTGCCACTTAACAGATTATTTTATTTTAAAAATGTTCTGAAAGATCAAACTGAAATAAAGCCAAGTATTTAAACATGCTTGAGAAAAAGCCCCTGCTATGACTGTACATCAAATGCTGTTCAATGAAGCATAGTGTTGAATTTAATTTTGATTAAAAATCTTCACTTTAAAAATATGTATACTGTATTTCATTTCTAGTTATAAAATGGGACATTATTCCAAGACTACAGGTCTAACTGAGGCTTCTGCATCATGGCAATATTTCCTCTTGTCCTACATATCAAATCTAAGCAGTGGTTTGAGAATTAAACATACATTCCAGGATAAATTAGAAATGTTATCATGGTTATCTGAAAATTAAACCCATGACAAAGATGAAGAAATCATTTTATGAATGAAGTAGGTATAATAAGAGGCACTAGACATGGAGAGGGAATGACATAGTTAAAATGTAATCTCTTAACATTGGGGGTAGGAACTCCAAATAGAATCCATGACACTGACATGTCTGTGACACAAAGTCAAAACCCTCCAGTAAAAAGCCCTCCAACATCCAATTCAAAACATCAGACTAAAACAAATCCCCCAGGGAAACTTTCAAGTGAGCAATTTGACTACGACACTCAAGGACATTAACTTTTTTATTCTTAACATAATGCTGTCACTACCATGCTTACAGTAGGGATAGTGATGAATGGGTGATATGCTGTTTAGTTTGCACTAGCTATAATATTTTGCTTGGAGACCAATGTTCCAGCCTTGTTTCGTCTAACAACAAAACAAATGGTGCCATTTTTTTTCAGTATCACGTTATCAAATGTTTTGCTGCAAACGTCATCCAGGATTTGGCTGTTATTTTTTCCTGCAATGGCTTCCTTCTTGCCACTCTGCCATATACTGTATAGAAGGGATTGGAGTCATAGACATTTTCTCTCATCTTAGCCATTGGACTCTGTAGTTTTTCAAAGTCACTACTAGCTTCACATTGGTATCCTTAACTAGTTTTATCCTTGCCTGGCTCCTCATTTTCCAGGCACAGACTGGTCTAGGCAGTCTCTGGAGGGTACAATACACATTCCACTTCTCAATGATCAGCCTCCCCAACCTCTTTTTTGACATTTTTTATACCCTTCCCTTGGTTTGAGCCAGTCTTTAACTTTACCCCTGATTTGTTTTTAAAACACCTTAGACTCTCTGCTTTGACTCATTAACTGCTTGAGCAATTAATGGAACAGCAGGGGATACTTGCAAAAACTGAAAAGAAGGAGGTGAGTTTCACTGGAAAAAGAAAAAAAAGTTACTGAAAGGTACTCATGCAGTACAGCATGAGCATCTGGAATGTAAAATTACAGAGCTACAAGATAGATCCCACATCATTAATATTTCGACTGTATATCCAAAGAAGTCTCATGATTACCTGAAAAAGCTCAATTTGGGGAAAAGGGACGCCTTGAAAAAGCAATCCCTTTGTGGTTCCTCACATGGTACAGCAGAACTAGGGCATGGAGAGGACACAAAGAATATATGGAGATTGTTCTTCTGAAGGTCAGGACATGGCCTGAATATTTATTTTCAAACACCTTTGGGACACTGTGATAGATGGTCCATCAAAACACTGATGTAACATTTGGACCCCCACTGGTGGCTGCTGTAGATATGGATTCCAAAGACTCAATAAATAGTTTCACCTGTGGACAATATAAGTATTTTTACCTGCTGTTGAAAGACAATGGGCAATCTGTGCCCCATTTGCTCAACTGAGGGATCAGTGCAACATTTTTACCTGGATTATAGCCCAATAACTGCTCAGCAGAGATGTGTCTTTGCAGGAAGGAGGAAATTGCTTAGAGGAGGGGGTGGGGGGAGTCCAGGCTTTTCTATTGTACCTTGCAGGGCTCAAAGTCCTCTATGTTGGCAGATAGCACCTGTTAACTCTGGTGCAAGAAGCTGAGGACGTTATTAGACCTGAAAGACTAACAGTGGTGTTCTCTGAGGTATTCCTTTGTTATGTTTGTTGTGGTTGTGCATGTGGGTAAAGTCAGAGCAAGGAACACCTTTTTCTCATGTGCCTCATTCCCTTATTGAGACCAACTTGTGATTGTATTTGGTGGTGAAACATTTTTGGCAATTCTGATTAGGACCTGAGATCTTTGTAGCTTAATCTTTTTTTCTGTGTGTTATCTAGAGAGGTACGTGTCATCTTTGCATTTGTTCTCATACTGTCCAGGTAAAGTTAAAATCTCCAATTGCATTGACAAAGCTTACACTATGGATGTCTTCAAAATCAGCATCCAAATAGGAAACAAAGAATGGAGAAGGAAAGGACCTTAAATAATGGATTGTGTAAGTCTACAAGAAGCTACCCAGTCAACCGTCAAAGATGGAACGATCACGTCTTTAAGGGAACAGCGAGGTGATTTTCTCAGATTAATTGTTTATTCGGTATCGAAGGAGCTAGAGGAAAATGAATAGTTTCCTCTCATTTGCAAACTTTCTTATAAACTTTCTAATGACTTACTTATGAACAAACCTGTTTGATAGATTTAAATGATGATGCTAGTAATAAAGTATTCATGGAGCACTACATGGCAATGATAATAAGAACAGAAAATCTGTATGAATCCTTATGCTATTTTATACACCTACCAGATTTTTAAACATTGAACACAAATGTAAAAATCCAACAAATATAATTATTTTTCTTGACTTTTGAGGAGGAAGAACACCATTCTATTTTGTTTTCCTTTACATTCGATTCAGTGCATATACTGTACTGTAGCCATTAATACTACAACTGTGTTAGTATACTGGTACTGAGAAGGATAAATTGAGCCCATTTTGTCATCTGACATGCAGAAGAGACAGGTTCCTGCTGATAACCACCTGTTGGTCCGAAATTGATCTGATCCCTACCATTGTTGATTAAAACAGAGCCCCGAAACATCTGTCCTGTCTTTGGAATTGATTTTGTATCCTTGTAGGAAACCAAGCCTCTCTATACCTTTCAATAGAGGCCTGCAACTTGTTTTATAGATATCAGTTTATCCATATAGAACAGAAGTTCTACTTCCCCCCTATCTATGATGAGATAGGGAGGTACTGGGATCAAGAGGATTAGTCTACTTGTATAAATAAACCTAAGGCTGCAGTCTCCACAGCCATACCAGTACCCAGACTGGACTGAGGTAAGTGATTACATACTTTTCAAGATCTATTTTGTCACCTGTTGCTGTTCAGTCTTCATGTAGTGGTGTGACTTAATTTCTCTCTCTCTCTTCTTTAGCTTCAAGGCACCCAGGTGCTGTAGACTAAGACACTACAACAGGCTTGTACATTGCATTCATCCTTCAACCATTGGAAGAATTTTATTTACTGATTTTTCTTCATTCTGCAGGAAAGGGTAACTATCAATGTGAATTATTTTATTGCACAAAATACAAAGGTATCAGACAACAAAATGAAGATATCGTATATTATTGTAAGCAAGCTTATTTATTAAGAGCATTGATGTAGGGGTTAATCAGCGATCAGGGTTTTATTTAACTAGGAGTTGGCTGTAATTTAGAATAGTTGCCATTTCTTACACACTACAGAATTCCTTTATATAGTATCTTAATTCTCTCTTAAAAATAACAAACACCAGAAAAGGGATTATGACCTTTCAGTCAAATACAAAAGAAGCTAATCTACTCTGAGAAAAAAACAAAGAGTCTCCATTAAAATGAGGAGCAAGGCCAAGAATCATCATCTTTACACATTGTTGCTAAAATGGCGCTAAAAATGGCCCTTAGCACAACCTTTCTATTCTTAAATTGCCTCCCCCATTGGGGATGACTTGGGAAAGCCCTGCAGGCTTTCACTGGGTACTTCAGTACCCCACAGCCCAAAGACATATTGTCTAAATTCAATGATTTCTTTAAATTGTCTCCCATTTGTCTGCAACTCTGCACTGGATTAAGCAGTTATTGAAAATGGCAGAATGGATTGTTAGGCTTTTAAGGATCTTTTAAGTACCAGGCTGGATCCTGCTATATCAGACTCATGGTGTTCTATTTAGGATATGTTAATTAAACCAATTATTCATATTGCTCTTCTCTAAACGTTTTTAAAGCTACAGTATAGTCTGTGAGGTATTGCAACCAAAATTAAACACAATATTTTAAAAGACCTACTAGTGCGATGAAAAGCTTGAGCACACATGCCTTGGATTTCAATTCCACACTTTTTTATTAGATACTCAGACAGTGAGTAAGATAGTTTGGTTTTTAATGCTTCCCCAAGTTGGTGTGATTGGGCCATCCTGCAGTATATTAGAATCTATTTTTGATATAGACCAAGAAGAACAGTGGGCTTACAATGGACCCCTGCCATACACAACTGTTGACATTTTCTCAATTGGAAGAGATGGCTCTTAAGGAAGCATTGTTTCCTGTTGACCAGTTTTCAATCAATGTGCATGTATAACTTTGGTTTCTTTCTTAAGGTCATTAATTTTACAATCAACTTTTTATTTGCTGTTCACTGGAAATCTAAATACATAGCCATATGTCCAGTCTTATCTCCTATTCTTCTTCCTTATTGAGAGAATTCTAGCAAACAAGTTACAAAGGACATACTGTAACATCAAATAGGAGGCCATTTTTCCCATCTATCCTATTTGATGGTTAAAATCTAATTGGCACAAGGATCTCATCAATCTGTTTCTTGAGTAAAGCCAGAGTAATAACATCAGAAATATGATAGGTGGATGTGTTACAGAGTCCCACAACCTTCTGCTTAAAAAAGTGCCTCCTGTTTTCAGTTCTAAATGGAACATTCCCATAGATTCCCCTTGTGTCCACTGGTTCACAGTTTTCCATTTATTCTGAACCATTTCCACTGGGTTGCATACTTACCTTTCCAAGTCTAGACTCTCTTAAAATGCCTTTATTTTTAAAATATATATATTTAAATATATGTTTTTTCACTACCATTTCCAAACTTTTACTTCTAATCGAAGTTTGGCTGACCTTGTATAGTGCTCTGGCTCTTTTTTGTTCCTCTTTTAATAAATTAGTGTTAAATCTGTAATTCTCAAATTTTAAGTGAGAGATGGAATATCCTAGCTAGGATAAATAACATTCCTCACTTCAATAAGTATTACCTGAAAAACCTGCAGGATCCAGATATTTGTGTTTTCTCCTGGTGTTTGCATAGGGTTCTCCAGGTGCTCCAATTTCCTTCCACAGTACAAGCATATACTGGGAGGTTAAATGGCTTCTGGGGAAATTGACCCCAGTGTGAGTGTTGTGTCTGTGTTTATGTCTATGTGTGTGCCTTGCAATTGACTGGCATCCCATCCAAGGTATATCCTGCCTTGTGCTGGTTGTTTGCCTGGATGGATTAAAAGGAACAGCATATACAATGCAGATGATAAACTTTATAAATTGAGTGAAATTCCCTCTTTAACAATAGATATGAAAACAGCATTGGGTCAATAAAGATAATCATAATATATATATAGACTATTACTAAATTACTATTGTCTTCAATGGAATTAGTTTAAAAAAACTGATAGGAAAGTAAGCAGTATTTTTTTTCATAATTGTATAAAAAAGGTATCCTCTGTTGTTCAAGGAAGCTGTTGTGTAACAAATATCACATGTCTGATGCTTAACATTTCAGACCTAACACTCATCACTTAGCATTGGTATCACTTAACAAAAATGAATATGAGCCAGGCAGTCATTTTTATGCCATAGCACAGCCTTTGATTTCGCAGTGATCTAGCACACAGTAAAAAAGTCATTTATAGTCCCCACCTTTGTCAGTGTATATTTAGGAGTTTATGCTGATTTTACATAAATTAATTCGTTAAAAGGTAATAATGGCACATAAAACATATAAAGAACACATAGATACACATATAAAAAAATAGAAACCCCAAAGGGATCTGTAGTATTTCTGGAATGCCAGAAAAAGATTCTGACTACTTTATTGGTATAGTTATTTTAGTATATGGCAAAAAAGAACAGTTCTACAAGTCCAGAAAAAGGTTTACTGTACCATGAAAATAGTGCAATTTCAAAAACAAATGATTCTGTTAAGAAGTGTAACAGAAGCCAGTCTGGGCTCCGGTGAAGCATAGTTTAGGACTCTATGCAGACGGTATAATCTGGATGTAGGTGGAGAAGGACAACAGGGAAAACATGATGAGGATCAGGACGGGATGACCAACAGGGGGGCGTGACGATGGTGATCTGGTGCTCGGGAGGGCATGGCGCAGGCGAGAAACAGTCCAAGGGGGAAATCTGGGGCGCAGTCAGGACGCCATTCTGAAGCCTATGCCGTCAGGTCTCTCCTGGACTCGCTGGTAGCCGGGCTTCCGGGTGAATGCTGAGCCAGGAATTAGCAGGAACGTCAGGCTTAAATAATAACAGGCAAAACAGGGGGCAGGTGCATGTAATTAACTAAAATACGAAAGGGTCCGAGCACCCTTAAGAGGAGGGATGACGATTGTGACAAGAAGATGCGCGTGAAATAATATTTCAAAAACTTTAAAAAAGTTGTAAGAACGATCAGAAGAACCGATAACTCAATTTGATATGAGTTAGACCTCATGTGACAGTAGGCACTGCCCCAACCTTCATCATTGCTGTTAAAGAGCTGCCTTCCCTGGGTGACACGGCAAGACACTGGCAAGCCTGAAAATGGAGGTACCCTCAGATCCTTCAGTACCTTCTCATCCTTGAAATGAGACATTAAAGTTATAACTTTAGGTTTCTTAAACATCAACTTTGTTCATAAAAGTAGATGTGTTAAGCCCAAGGTCAGGGGAGAAAGAATCTCTTAATTCAAATTTTAAAGCAAATTCTCTTGTCTTCCCTGATCTGCTGCATAGTGAGACTGCTGATGCAGGCATCAGATCACATCAGCAGTGCTTGAAGTTGATCTTATCCTGTGTGTGAAGCACATACAGAAAGGTTCCTTTGTAATGGAAAGGACGCTGCCAGCATAGATGGAGCTAGGGCTGAGTAAAGAAGCGTAGAATTAAAAAGATTTTGAATTTAAAGATAAAGTTGTTTTGGGTGTATTTTACATTTTGAACTTTTTCATCTGTTTTTATTCTTATTTGTAAATAAAAACACCATTTTGAAGTTCTTCCAGTGCCTGTCACAACCTTTTCTAGGAAATGCACATTTTCTTTAAAAATGAAAGTGTACTCATTTACACCAAGCAACACCACACTCTACTGCCTCATTTATCATTTTATTTTCTTGTAAAACTTATTGGTAGGGTGTGATAAATTGTCTCATCTTTGTCTTCATTTCCTGTATATGCTGAAGGTCTATTTCATATGAGATCGTTTTCTGAAGAATTTACTGTACTAAGAGTTTTCTGTTTTTTATGTGACTTGAAAAAGAGAACCCTATCCAAACTTGCTGGTGAAGAAATACCTGAATTATTGGTCAGAGCTCTTCTTCTGAATCCAAGGTGTGCATCTGAAAAGCTATGTTTTGCTGATGTTTGATAAGCGAGACAAAGCAAAATTCCTGGCACAGCTTTATGGCTTTTTGAGTCAGATGTATAAACAGGAATGGCCTTTCATCCAAAAGTATTGCCAATGGAATCACAACAATTTAACTCAGGTTGAGACGTTATCTAATCTGTAAATCTTTCTATCCATTTTTGTTTCTATTTTATCAGGAGCAAAAAATCAAGGCACTAAATCTCACATCACTTCCTGCTGGAAAAGTTAATAAATAATAATCGACATACCATTTGATGTAATCAAGGCCTTTATGGGTGAAGCTGACATGACCCAGTTTTTTTGTGTCTTAGGATGGGTGCTGCTCTGCTGGTGTGTGGTCTGTTGTGCCTGGTGGCCAGTCAGACTCTATCCAAGTGTGCGCCCACCGATTACATGCTGTACGTGGAGAAGTATGGCTGTGCCTACTGTGTGGCCATCAACACCACCATCTGCTCAGGGTTCTGCTATTCGCGGGTGAGATCCTGCAGTCGGTTTGAATGCAATAGACTATGCCAGAAGGGTAGTGTGTACTGTCCCTTTAATTTTACATTTCTAAGTGCAAGTCCTATAACACAGACCCTAGCCAAACTCTAGTAAGCAGCCCTGACATCCCGTAAAAATCTGCAGTTACTAAAAAATGTATATAACCCTGCAAGAAGTAAAGCTGTTAAGTAGATTTTACTGAATACCATAATGAATGAACTTTTTTCCAAGAAAAAGCACATTTTGTGAGAATTCCAAATGTCTTGGTCAAAGACAGTGGTGCCACCTACTGGTTCTGACACTGGTTCAGCAGGATTACATGTCTCCTGTCCAAGGAAGTCTTGTTTAGCCTTTACAAAGAATATGATGAAACAAGCAAGATACAACAGGATGTTAGAAATGGCAGTCTGTGTTTACAGACAACAACCTTTATTCCCACCCTAGAGTTCAAAAGAATGACTGTAACCTTTAATACATAGAACAAAATGTGCGTAAAAATAAAATAAATGCAATATCTGTAATGGAAAGTGGGAGGTTTATAAAGTGCTTTCTCTATCTGCGTGTTAATGGATACGTCCTTGTGGACCTGTATTTCCCCACAAAGTCAAAAGGTCAGGGGTATGCTGGACAAATAAATCTGAATCTACTGCTTAATAAAGCATCATATAATATTCATCTATCCATTTTCAGAAGCAGTTTATTCCTGGTAAAGTTATGCAATCTGGCGTCTATCCTAAAAGTGTAGGAGCAAGGTGACAAGTTTGAACCACACACAGGACAGAGTGCCAGTTGATCACAGAACCCTACACACAGGCCACATAAATTTGGCCTGCTGGATTGTCCAGAAAAAACCCATGAACACAGGAAGAACATGCAAAAAGTGCTGACCACAGTAATACCATGTTATAATTTTCATAACTGATCCAATGATAAACATTACAAATGGCATAGAATTAAAGACAACATTTGATTCCATTTAAATAATCTTGTTTACTGAAATTATAAATTTTCATTTTTTTTTGGTATTGGACAGGTACATACTGTACCTAAACTTCAAAAGCTCCTTGCTATGAAATCATAAGCCTTAAAGTTCCATGTATGTTTAATTTGCCCTTAAGCTTTTTTAAATATTGCTTTTGCAACCCACCTCTATTACAAAGAAGAGATTAGTACCAAGCTACAGTAGTTATTATCATTTTTGTTAACCTGAAGTTTTTTAAAGAAGTTGTCATCGTGATCCCAGCCAGCTGTGACTAGAATCATCTGCACAAAACCTGTATGTCATGTGATACACTGAGAAATTTCCACATAATGCAAGCTGCTGTTGCACAACACATGCACCCAAAGAAGGCCCCACAGCCAAAACGTTGTGTTTTCTTTCTTCTCTTTTCAGCATGGAATAAACCTATTACTTGTTCCTTTGCACACATCTTGTATTACTTTTTTTGCCTTAAAATGTATTTTAGTTGTGTCACTATATGCAAGACCTGAAAAAAAAAACATATTTTTTACTGATAATGACACTGGGCCTTTCAGTCTCAGTAAGTAAATGATGCAGCATGATTTTGCTTGATGACTGCTTGAAGGAGATCACCTTGGCCCCTAGGTGAGGGTTTTGCAGTGCATAGATTGTAAATAATGGTATTTTTCCACTGGCTTTCAGGACACCAATGTGAAGGGCGTGGTGGGGAAGAGCTACTTCCTGCAGAGAAGCTGTACATACCAGGTGCTGGAATACCGCACTGTGTTGCTGCCTGGCTGTCCCCTCCATATCAACCCCCTACTGTCCTACCCCTTGGCGCTTCGTTGCCACTGCAGCAGATGCAACACAGACAACAACGACTGCACCCACAAAGCCTCTGAGACCAATGAGTGCACAAAGCCCATACAGCCTGCTGACTCATACCCTGGCCAGAGCAACTATATACAGCTGGACTAAAGGTGGCAGTGTGGTAAAGTAAGGGATAGAGGGGGGAACCCTGGTTTATCTGGATTAACCTCAGATTTGTTTTAAAGTGCATCTTGTCTTGTCTGCCTGCAGTTTGATCTGTGAATTTGAAACTGTATTAGTTGTGCATACTGTAGGTCCTTAAAGACCAAGAGAATCCAAAAGAGTACGGAATGCAAATTCTGCAAGTTTGGGACAAGACTCTTATGTGACTTATCAATTACTAAATAATACTTGATGTTTTACTGAGTTGTGCTGTGTGTAATTGTACATTATATCTGAAATATAATATTTCATCAATTTCCCTTTGGGATCAATAAAGTCTTATCTATCTAAATCAAATCACTACAGAATATATATATATGCAGTATACTGTAGTTACTGTATGTGTCCATTTTTTGGAGATGTTTTGGAACAGAAGGCCTTAATCGATAAATCACAGTAAAAGCACAAATATTTTATTTTTTTAATCAGATTTCTAACTTCTTACTGCTGCAACCTCTGAAACCAAGTGCTCAAGTGTTTACAAACACATTCGTTAGATATTTGTCAGGTTAATTTTATCACTACTGTCAAATCCAGGGATATTAGAGCCTCAGGAGTATTCTTGGCACTGATATACTCACCATGAGCGTGGTAACGTAGAGAGTATAAATAGTTGCAACCCCAATAAATGTGTGCTTTAAGTTCACTCTGTAATTGATAACAATATTGTATTGTACATTATATTGTATGGTAAACTATAGGAAAGTGGGCTGTAGAAATATGCTTCCACACTGATATGATATTCCACTTCTAATTATATACAGTAGTCTATTCTGTTCTTCCAGATATGTTTTTCCACGATTTCCAATAGTGAAAGAATGAGGTGATGAGAAAAGGATTCTCCTTTTAGTTTAGCAGCATTAATGTATTCAAATTTGGATTTCAATAGAATACTGGCATTCACATCCCCATTTTCACTTCAGTCATAAGACCTGACTTGGAAAAGGCATGCATCTTTTAACATACTAAGGGATGTTTTTATGTGTATTATGATTTATGTTTCATTTAATAATGATATACCGATTTGTAAATTGCATTTCAGTTACTCCACAATTGCATTATACTGTATACTATACTATATTATACTGTGAGTCAAACAAATGTCTACAATGAAAAACACAAACAGAAAATCTAAATTATGGCTTCAGAATTGGTGAATAGGCAAATATGAAAGGATATACAAATGTTTAATGACATTAAAAAGAAAGGCACTATTTTACACTATTTCTATTATTACAAAGCACAGATGTTGTTTTACACAAATATTGTATAAAGAGACACATCTACTGTGTATTTTTAAAAACTGGGAGCTTCAGAACATCAGAAGATTAATTTTAATTAGGCATACAGTAATAATGATTAAATTGCATATACATACAGTATGTAGAAATGGCACAATTTTGACTTGTAAACAGAAAGGGCAGATGTATTGAATTTTGAAACTCAAAATCACAATATTCAAAAAAGAAAAATGCAATCATATAACAATGTAATGTGCCTGTTCAGTCTTTCTGACGAAGCATAAGAAGTTTAATTAGGTTAATGGTGTTTTGTAAGAACATGCATTTATTTTGTAAGAGTGGATCATGGAAATATATTATAGCAAATAGGAGATTATGAACATGGAGAATTTCTTGAACTGACCATGCAGTTACTAGTTTTACATTGACTCATTAAAGTCACAATTGTGAAGGCCTTTGTCTCTACTGGAGCTTTTTTTAATTCATCTTACTTTAAAAATAAAACTTCTTCCCTTGTAAATTTAAAGCCCATGCAACAAAAAGGTTCTGTGACTACTGTGAAATGGCACTGCTGACATTCTACTAATGACACAGCTGATAATAATAGAAACTGATTTTGGAAGCATTCAACATCTGTTTATTTCAGTACAATCCCTTTGTCTTGTACTATCTTTCAGCATGAGTATGGTGCAGCTGTCATGATAGAAAATACCAGCAAACCTCAATGCTAGTGCTGGTGCTGGTGAATTTATTGACAATGAAATGCTAGGACTTTATACAGATTGTGAGAAACTACTGTATACAACTGTCATGTTAATATATCTGGAATAGATGTATAGAACCTGTATAGAAAAATACCGAATGTTTTACATACTGTATCTCTGTCTACCATAGTGCAATGCATGTACTGTACTGTAGGTACAATACTCTCTACATCAATGGAATGGTTGCTGAGTTACTTATTAGGAATGAAAACAAACAATGAACGAGTTTGACCATATTTGTTCAGATGGGTTGCTAACAAAAGCATTGAAATTACACACTTGCCATGTAAGTAATTTAAAGTAAAACAGTTTGTAAAATAACACAAGGCAGTATTCACCTGTATCAAATTACATTAACCTTGAGAAATGTTGGTACATGTTAGGTACAAGCTCTCCTTTTATCTGATTTAGTTTTTTTTTTACCATATACATTCCTAAGTATTTCAAAAGAGTGACATGCTTTGACAAGCAAGGACAGACCACAGGAATAATACAGCTGATTCGATTTTCTATTTTTGAGAATTTTGCTTTTCCATAGTTTTGAGATGAGACAATTGATCATCCTACTACTAATTATAAATCTACCTACAATATGTAGTTACAATGCCCTCATCTAAAAATGTACCAGTGAATAATTCACATTGGTTCCCATCTCGGGCTGCATGTAATCCATTTTTTTTTCTTGCAGGGGGGCATTTGTCAGGACACCTTTGAGCCTTTGATTTTGGAGGATCTGAAGTAATTACCATTAACACTGCACAACTCCACCCATTTAGACATTTCTTCAGAGAAAATACCTGCACACACGTGGTAGACAAAAGAATACATCAATGGTTACAAAATGGAGAAAGTGAATAGTTGGTTATTTCCTGGCTTGACACAAAAACGTCATTACGGGAGTTCATGTTAAAGTTAAAAAAAATACTGGGGCCTTTTCTTTAGGCACCTGCAATGCAGCCTCCAAGGAAATGAAAATTCACTGGTAAACGCATAGATGGCCTTTAAGGTTTGTGCACAGTCGAATAACAACGTAAACTTTGGTTTGTTAGTCACTTGAAAGGGGACAGGGAGGTTTTTCACTTCTTCTACAGCTTGAAAACCGTGTAGTGTTTGGCCAAAATGAGGCTTAAGAAAATTGAAATCACAACAAAAAACAAACGGGACAAGAGCTTAAAAAACGTTTAGCTGCCGCTGACTTACAGTACCGAAAGTACTAATTTCGTACTTGAACTTCTGTAGATAACCCCTCGTGACTGTACGAGTCACACAGCAGGAGTCATGTTCTAGAAATGCCACATCTACTCCATTCATTGAGGAAGCAGATGAGCCGTCTGTTTGGCTCTGGCCAATAGTAGAATACACACTCACGACTTCAGCCTCAGGATTGGGTTATTGTCTTCCGTGTTCCGACCTCCCCACTGTCGTATGAACGGAATTTTCTAGAAGGATTGTATTCATTTAGTAAAGCAGCAGCGAAGAGGTGCCTAACCGCAGATTAGTTTGTGTATTTATATATATTTATTTAATTCCCAGATTCGCTTTTTGGTAAGTCGTCAAATAACATAATTCCAGCTTTTTTTTTATATATATCTGTGTGTACAACTGTAATAATTAATACCGCCCGAAATTTAGTTATCACAAATAAAAAGGCGGCTTAGATTTTTTTTTAAGTAGAAAACATGATTTGTCAGAATATGTTAAAATAAGCTTGTTTTATTTTTTTTAAAAAGAGTTAAATTAATTTTAAAGTAACGGTTTCCGGTACTGTAGTACTGAACGGGGATTTGGTGGAAGTGGTTGCCGGTGGCGGGCGCGTTACTTTTGTAAAGGCGGGCTTGGTTTTCTACTGTTTAATTTTCCCCGTAAATATCGGGTAACTACATCAAAATAAATATTAAGATTTTTTTTTTTAAAAGCAAACTATACTGTTATTTCCATACAGCTCCATGGGACTTCCGCTATCGTTATCGGCGCCTGCAGCAGTTCAGCAAAGTTTTCAGAAATATAAAAAGACTCGCGCACTGGGCAGATAAATTTCCGTGTTTTGGAATTTGCTTAGTTTTATTTTAGGGAACTGCACTTGGCTGAATAATTGCAGCTACAGACGGTTTATGAAATGTTTCCTTGGGATCTTCGATATTAATAGTATTCTAGAATAGGCGCCAGGTTAGCAGGCAGTATTGACTTCCCTCTAAAGACATGTTCACGCCGTCTTGTTCACTGATTAGTTTAACGTCTTCTTAATAGTGAGAGCCTTTATAAGATTGCTTAATTTTATTCCCAGAGATTACATTTCCTCTGATCAATTAAGGAAGGTGCGAGTTGCTCCTTCTGGGGTTGATTCGTCTTCCGTGTAACTCTAGAAATATGCTTAGCTTTGCCAACGTTTCTTAATACTAGGGTTAATTCACTAGTAGAAGGCGTAACAAGTCTATGCTATTTCGAAGCTATCTGGAGAATACAGAATAGTCTAAATGTCAATTTTTACATGCTTCCGTGTCTTTCGTTTGGTATAGCTGCTTTGTAAAAATCAGTCCTATTTTGTAATCTGATTTAGATAATTAATTTCCGGGTAGAAATGGGGCACCAGCCTTTTCCTTAAGTCTGAGCTTAGCTGATGCAATCATATGGTTAATAGCGACCTGCTGATTGGTTGTTTGATGGGAGGCTCTTGGGTTAGAACAGGTTCTTTTGAGATCGTTCTTGGAACTCGCTAATGTTACTTCAAGGTGAAATTTCAGTTTCTGGTAGCTTTGTAATTCCAGAGCACCAAATAACCTTCAGCAGGTTGGGGGAAAATTCATTTTTTTTCTCTACTCATTGGTAATGACTGCATGTCCTGAAACTTTTGAGTTCACTTATCCAGAGCATTTAGGTTAAAAGGTTATGTAACTATAGTTGAGACATGATAACAAATTAGGAATGGTTTTTACGTACTCATTTAACTGTTTATGATACAGACCTGATTTTATTTTTTAAAAATTTTCATCCTGAAGTTGAAGTGTGGTTAGATTTAATTAAGGTAGAAAGAACATTTTATCTTTAAATCTTTATAAGCTTAGCTTTTAAGGCTAAGCCTTACCAGCATCTTACTTCAACCTTTCTTAGGTTTTGCAAAATGTTATTCCTAACCATAGTTTTTAGACTGGTACAGTGAAGAATCTTAATTATAACCCCTGACATCTCCTGGCGAGAGCCATGTTAGGGGTTTGATAGTTGTCCTTTGTCAGCTGTTTCTGAATCGCATCAAAGAAACAGACTGCTAATGTTTATAGTCTGCTCTTTTCTCTTGTCTTCCCTGAGCAAGGAGACAGGTGAGGTTATTCCAGTTTATTTTAAGGGATAGATATGAGATGCACGCTTAACAGCTAAAGAACGTTTGGTGTGAAAATGGGTTCTGTTGTTTGTCTTTTTTTACAAAAAAAGGGTGTACCTTTAAAATTTTATTCCTAAGTGACATGCTGTTAGATTCTCTGATAAAACCTTCCATCAGGAATTTGTTGTCAGTTGGTCTGTGGTCATGCTCAGGACTCGTGTTTCAGGCTCGTCAAGCCAATCGGTGGGGATAGTTTGTGTGTACATGCTGATGAGCCCTGCTAAAATGGGATCCTGAGATCAGGATACACTGGGTGTGGGTGGGTGGAGAGATGTTCCAAGCTGGATGCCAATAGGCTGAGTCTATAGAGAGGCTTTAGTACCGTGTGCAAGACTCTAAACTTATTCCCGGTTTTCGTAACCCTTCTTCACTCCTCCCCAGAGTCACCATTGGGAACTCCTCACACCCAGCAACACTCCAACTTTGTGACCAAAGCCCTCTTGAATTTATACTTCTACATTTGTCATTTGTCCTGATAAGCCAAGATGTCCCAGCAGCAGATCAGGTATGTGGGCCCCTTTTTTATTGTCGTTCTTTATCTCTTTTGTCAACCTTGCATACTTATGTTATTTTACATAAAAGAGTGTAAAGACTGAAACTGTGCAGTTCGAAAGTTTAACAATGACTAGCTTCTCACAAAGATTAGCTTGATACTTCAAATACTCCATCTCTATCTGTTAAAATGATTGGAGCACAGATTGCTTACTTTTATATATCTATGTTTATCTGTTGTCTGTGAGTGATGTTTTGGAAACAACTTCAAATATGCAGATCTTAACTGATTTAGAATTTAATGTTGCATATTGAATTGTAATTAATTGTTTTGAACTTCTACAGCCTTCCTGCCAAGCTCATCAATGGTGGTATTGCTGGCATTGTGGGGGTAACTTGCGTGTTTCCCATTGACTTGGCAAAGACCAGACTGCAGAACCAGAGGAGTGGTCAGCAGGTGTACAAGAACATGTAAGTCTTCAGATGCAGAATAAACAGATTTCTGCCAGTGATTAACATAAGTCTTCTACTACTTGTGTTGTATACACAATTGCTAGATTGCATCTACCAAGGGTTTTGGTTAGTCATTATTATGGCATTATTGTGTCTTATTTGTGAATGCAGTAAGATTACTTTAAACTTTGAAACTTTCAAAATATATTTTATCTCATGGAGCTATAATCTGTAAAACAGTTTATCGTCCTTCTAATACACCCATTGATTGGCCAGGTCCCCTTTAAACCTGATCTTTAAGTACCCTGTCCCTGTTCTGTCAGATTTGTCATATAATGAGTTTAAACCTTTTATTCTGTGTTTCATGCTTTTAAACCTTGGTAAGAGTGCTTTAGAAGGATAATCTGAGCATTTCTATTGTCATAACAGTTTTTCCAATTTCCATTTTTCCCTCTTAGGATGGATTGCCTTGTTAAGACTGTTCGATCTGAGGGCTATTTTGGGATGTATAGAGGTAAGACTTCAAGTTTCAGTGAGCTGTGATAAGAATAATATCCTAGTCTTTTGGCATCCCTTATGTTTGGGGAGATTTACCTTCCTTGATTTTTATTTGTGAGTCTGGAGATGTCTGATTAGGCTAAACTGGGTAGGCAGCACTGGAATCATATTCAAAGCCCTTCTAAGAGCCAGCACATTTCTTCTTAGTTTACTCATTTTTTTTCTTTATTTCCTGTTTTAAAAGCCTGTAACACAGGGCAGCTGAACAGCTCAAACAATAGGCTGTGTAAATGCAAAGTACCCTTCCCTTCAAGATAATTTGCTTGGTAAATTTTAAGAAAAACCTGTTGTAGTCCTGTGTGTTAACCTTAGTATGACAGTGGCATTTGTCTTTTGAAAATGTCACTTTTCTTGATGCATGACAAAGGAGCAGATTTCAGATGTTTCTGACAGAAATCTTTCATTATTTATGTTGGCACTTTGGCCTGTTAGGGTTCTGTTATGTTAGAAATTGCACCTTAGGGCAGGCATTTGTGCCTGGGGAAGCAAAACAAAAAGCCTTACGGTTCAAACCTAGTAACTTGCTTGTGCAGTTTAATTGTAATGATCTTCAGTCTTTCTGTATATCCCCAAGCTGTTTCCCATGGAAATCTGCATTACAGGCATTATCATAATTCAGAATTTATGCTAAGCATTTTTTCAGCACGACAATTGTAGTGATGCAACGCATTCAGTATGTGACAATGAGTGAAGCCTGTTTTTGATTGAACTACTAGGGTCTTTCTGATCATTGTACCTTCTATGAGTAGGCTACAGCACTATTTTATGTTCACAGTGGAACCAGTGTTATTGGTATCCGCTTCGTTGAGGAATGCTGTTTGTTTGCATCTGTGTTTTTCATATTGCAGACACGGGTCCCCGTGGATTTTGAGGGCTAGCCGATATGGCGCAGCCACGCTGGAGGCAAATCATTAATGGTTCATACAATACCTCTCAATTGTAAATAGGCTCAATATTTTGTTTTGTACAATTTGCTTTTTGTATTCCTTCTATAGCCAGAGACCATCTTTTCTCTCATCTTCTGTCCCTGTCTACTAACTCTCATGTATCTTTTGAAAAAATCTTAATAGTAGTAATCTACTTAAAAGTTTATTTTAGCAGTGGCTAATGTAATAAGGGGAAGTTTTTGCAAGTTACTTGACACCATAGTGTAGCATCAGATAAGAGACTTTACTGGATTTTTCTTCTCCTTTGCTTGCTTCTAACCTTTGGTATTTTTCTATCTTTCAGTAAATGGAAACTTTAAAAACTACATGTTTCTTCCTTTCTGTAAATGTTTTACTTGGTCTTTTGTGAACTGATTATTTAGAAACCTGAATCCCCCATCATTGATTATTCGTGCATTGCATCCATAAAATTGGGCGTTTTGCTTTTGCCATTTAAAACATTCCTGCTTTTTTACATGTGTGCTGTTGTATTCATCCATAAAAGCTACTCTTTGGATGCAACAGTATGTTACTGAAGGGGCTATGGTTTGGCTACATCTGTGGATTAATTTAGGGATTTTTTAAAATATCTGAAAATTGAGTACTCAATAGGTCATTTTTTCTTTTAGGTGCTGCAGTTAATCTGACCTTGGTTACACCTGAGAAGGCAATTAAACTTGCTGCCAATGATTTCTTCCGTCATCTGCTAAGCAAAGATGGGTAAGTCCCTGTCTTCTGGTAATTTGTTGTGCAGCAGAGTTTATTCATTCCTGGTTTCAACAAGTTGTGAAACAACAACTTTCAACAAGTTGTGACAAGTCTTTATATGGGTGCAGTTAAAGCTCCAAATGGTAGTTTTTGCAGGTATTTTTGATGCTATTATGAGATTAAAGTCATGGAATGCTAAGAGTGATACACACAAATAAAGTTACCAACAGTTTTTTGGGAAGCGGCAGAGATCAGTTTTAAGTTTTTCTATTGCAGGAAAGGTCTCACTGTATTCAAGGAGATGTTGGCTGGGTGTGGTGCAGGGACCTGCCAAGTTATTATTACTACACCAATGGAAATGCTGAAGATCCAACTTCAAGATGCTGGAAGACTGGGTGAGAAGTTCATTTTCTTGACGACTTTTAAATAAATAGAATACACTGAGATGTTTTGCTGTGCAAAGTGCTTCCTTTGTAATTTTCCATATTTTGTTTTTCCAATGCTTCATTTTGTAGCTGCTCAACAAAGAAAGAAAACGGTGGTACCCTCCACAAAGCTGGGAGCAACAAACACATTACTGAGCCGCTCCTACAATGTTGGTCCAGCCCCGCTGGTAAGGAAGGTATCAGCCACCCAGATAGCACAGGAGCTGCTACGAACCCAGGGTATCCAGGGCCTATATAAAGGACTGGGGGCCACCTTAATGAGGTGAGGTTTTTGCACGTTGTGTTTTTTAAAATTATGAAATTTCAGAAAAGTAGTTACTTAACAATGAACCCTACTTTTTTATTATTTCAGAGATGTTCCCTTCTCCGTCGTTTACTTCCCGCTGTTTGCACACATTAACCGACTGGGTCAGCCGTCTCCGGAAGAGAATGCTCCTTTCTACCATTCTTTCCTTGCTGGCTGTATTGCTGGCTCCACAGCTGCTGTTGCAGTTAACCCATGTGATGGTGAGTTTTTTTTCTGAGCATGTATTATTTTTAAGATGGTGTTTTTTGTTTTACTTTGCTTTAAGTCATTTATTGGAGCCTGAATTATAACTGTAGCAACAATACTAATTGTCTTAAGATATAAGTTTTTAGCCCTCATCTTGGGGTGGGGCGGGGGGGGCTGCTGGCTTTAAGTGGAACTCATGTGAATTTGTCAAAACTGTGAATTCTAGTCTCTTATTTAAAGACGCCTTAAGTAGCATTGCGGACATTATCTATTACGAGTAAAACTTAGGTTTGGATTAAATGTCTTGTCATACTGTGAAATAAAGTGTCAAATACATGAATATTTTCTTTCCCATTCACAGTGGTTAAGACTCGGTTACAGTCTCTGAACAAAGGAGCAAATGAAGAGAGTTACAATGGAGTCATTGACTGTGTTAGGTGAGATGACAATTTTAAATGGTATACATTTATTGCTGTAGATGAACGTTTATAAATGTATTGTACAGTAACCTTACTGTAAAAAAAAAAAATGTATTTTTTCTTTTCTTCAAAGTAAAATTTTGCGAAAAGAAGGACCCTCTGCATTCCTGAAGGGCGCAGGCTGCAGGGCGCTGGTGATCGCTCCTCTGTTTGGCATTGCACAAGTGATGTACTTCGTGGGAGTTGGAGAGTTCATTCTTGGTTACACACCATTCAACTTGTACTCATCTTAAATGCTTTTTTTCAAGATTCAACTCTGTCACACCTTCAAAAAGGAGCCTACACAAATATTAAACCAAAAGACAATGTCAGATCTGGATCTGTCTAAATATTCGCATTTGCATTAAAATGTGGGTTTAGAAGGTTAAAATGCTGTTGGACCCAAGTGTTGAACTGTGTTACCCTCTTATAAAGGTTTTTAAAATGTCTGACATCTAGGGAGGATGACTTGGGTTTCTGGCTTATAACAAGCTATTTTGTACCCTTTCAGTAGAGATCAGTTGAATGGGTAATAATATTAGCAGTACCTTCTTGGTACCAGTGTTGTAATTTTCCCTCTATGAGGGAGGGAAACTTTTCTCTATAAATGCAGTCTTGCACCATGACCAGCAGATGTGTCTTTCGAAGTCTGGATCTATGGCAGAGTATTACTTCGGCACTTGAAACTGCTGTAACTCTGTTCAAAGGGTGGTGCAGATTGCACTGGATGAAGTATTTAAAAATGCCTCCATTTCTAAATTTTTCTAAATCTGTTTTTATACACTAACTGTCAGTTGAAACACAATCATTTCTTTCACAAAAATGGTTTTATAACATTATAGATGTTTGGAGAGATGGAAACTAGAGATTTGGATATTCTTGTAAGCCTCCATTCTGCTTGAGGTTGGAACATTTGCAAACAAGTGAATTCCTGTGTAATTAGTAATCCATTTATTTAGGAGAATAGTTTGTGGTTACAGAACATTTTTGTAGCCTTTTTATTCCTGGGATCAGTATTTTAATGGATGACTTGAAGAATAACCCAGTTTTAAGTTATAAAATTTAGTTTTATAAAGATCGATAATTCTTTAGAATTATTTTGCCATATTGCTTGTCCTTGAAATCCTTTTTCATGGATTAGAAGTGGATAAGGGTCATTTCTCTAATCCATTTTTAGTGTTCAGATTTATTCATGTTGCTGGGCATTTTCATATCAGCCCTGTACATTGGAACTGACCACAGGATCAACTGGGAACATGATTTTTGTTGGTGCCGCATCTGATTGTTTTGTTGGGGGCGGGGGGGGAGTCCTTTTTTTTTTTCTATGGCAGTTACATGAAAGTTATAGATGTAAAATACATTCTGGTTAAAACTGAATTGGATGGTTTTATTGGTCTGAGGGTTGTGCACATTGAGTGTAAGACTGGCTTACATTTTCATTGTTTAAAAAAATGTAAGTGTGGTTTTTAAGTTGCCGCTTAAATAGCAATAACAAAAGTGCAGTTTCTTTTTAATCTGATTTCCTAGCTAAATTAGTTTGTGGACCTGTTGTACTGAAACTGAAGTTTCAGTAATTTAAAACACTGAAGATCATTGTCATTTTCAGCCAAAAAATGGTGCTCCTTTGGACAAGTGTAAAACTGAACCAGGTATTTGTAAGAGTGGATCTATAAATTATATATTTCCATACTTGGAACTTAACTTGTCATATATTCAGCTTTTATGTTTGTATAATCTCTTTTCTGCTTAACAATAAACTTTACGCATACTTTTGTATACAGGATGTCTCTTAATGCAAACATTTCAGCAAACTTGTAATCGCTTTACTATAATTAAGTTATATGACCTTTTTAAAACTCTCGGCGTTTGTCATCCGTGTGTAGAAAATTCTACAATTGAGTCATAATTGATTAGTGTACAGTAGTTAGTATACTACATTAATGTAAAGGTAGTACATTCCTTTTAAAACTTTTCTTTATTTTAAAAAGTAACATGGGTAACCTGTAACTCCACATTAAGTTTTAAAAGTAACATTTCCTGGCAGTGCTTCATGTTACTACTGCTTGCTATCATGGTTTCAGAAAGCCATGGTTCAATTCTGTGAATCTCCCAAGGTGTATGTCTTAATGCCAGTCTTATTTAACACGAGCATAATTGTAGAACTATTGAAAAGCAAATGCCAGGCCTTTACTGTGGCAGCTTAATAGTAAATTCACAAGGAGCAAAATTGTTTTCTGTGGATATTTTGACATGTATCCACCCAGGTCCTTGGACCAGTGGAATTTAAATTTACTGCATCATACCAGTTTATTGGATTGTATGTTTTATGCATTCGCTATCGAGATCAGGATCAGGCAGTTTGTAGATTGTTTTTTTTACAATTAAAGTTTTGACTCGATGACTAAAAAGCCTGTTGTATTTGGTTATGGCTTACAAAAATGCAACTTTCTAAACATGATGCGTATAAAGATATTTTTAAGCTGTTAATGTTTATTAAAAAATATCCCAAATGCTTACGTTGTAGTTATCAAACAAGCATTTAGATTTCATTATGAATAGTTGAGAATTTATATCATTTTTAAGAATTCTAGTATGACCAAAATTTACAACGTGCTCTGCAAGAGAATATTTTTTTTTCCCCCAGAGATGCCTGTCTGAGTTAACCATACACGAAGGCAATCTAATCCTTAAGCAACTCAGCAACTCAGCAATCTCGTCAAGGATTGCTTAAGTCTTACTGCATGGCTGGCATTCACAGCTGTTTGCCAGAAATCACAGCAAAAGGCTTACCGGATGCTAGTGAGTAGTCATCTGATAGGGGTTTATAGGCTGTACTTTAAATAACCACCAATAGTTTCACCCCTCCCTGCTGTATTAATTTACCTTTCTGTTTCATAATACTCCTTTTTGGTGCATTTTTTTCTGTGACACTTAATTACGGTTATACAGATTACAAGAATGTTTGAATGTACCAATTGGATCTGTATTAGGACCACTACATTCTTATATGTAGTAATAACTCAAATTTCGGTGTAAATGGTAAAATAAGTTTTGGTAGTAACAGCAAATTAAGTAGACCAGGTACAATGGTAAGTCTACTAGAACTGAATCTTTTTAGTCTTCAACAGAGATGACTTTGAGGGCACATGAAGGCATTGATTTTGTCGTCCTGATGAACATCTTGAGAATTAACAGTGAAACACAAATCGGAGGACTCTAATGGAATGAGTAGTAGAGTGGTGGACTCGTAACAAGAATGCTGTTGCTTTAAATCCTGGGTGAGGCATTGCTATACTTCGGTAAAAGTGTCAGATAAAGCAGAAACTATAGGGCCTCTTTTATACAAAGGGTTGTGTCAGTCTGGAGCCAGCTGCCCAGCCATGTTCTTGAAGCTGATACCCTGGGTTTGCTGAACATATTAACTATGAGCACTTCCTTTTAATGAACTTTTCTATGTTCATATGTAGAATGCATCCATGAGCATGTTTCAAAACTGAATCAACCCATGTTTACTTCTGCAAAAATCCATACCAGCCTCGGAGAGTGGATGAAGGGTGGCAAGAGAATTTTGTCACTCTAGGATTCTAGAAGGCTGCAGCAGAGATTCCTTTACAGCTGAGAGATGGCCACAACTCAAAAATTCGAGTCCTGTGGGCAGACATCCAACAAAAAAGGACTTGTGAAGCCAGCTTGCAATACTCAAGCTGTATTGCACTGACACTTGGAGCACTAGATTACATCAACAAGTAATTTGCTTGCATGTGAAGCCAGGCTACACAGCTCAATCTCCAGCTGGAAATCTGAAGAAGGGGTATCCCATGCACACACACTTCTTGCCTCTACAAACAGGCTGAACTAAAAATGGACCACAAGCTGTATCTTTGCAATCCCCCCCCCCCAAAAAAAAAGAAACAATGAGAAATGTTTAAAAAGTTTATTACTTTTTGCACATCTTCCTGAGAAGCTTGAATTCCAATTGAATTTTCAGATAAATGAGCCATCAAATAATTTAATTAAATCAACAGTAAGATTTTTTCTGCTTGCATACAGTACTTCACATCTCAGATTACTTTATTCTTCCAACCCAGAACATGCATTTATCAAGGAATGATGGTATAAAACTAACCTAATACCTCAAGAAGAATTTTCACTCTAACTAAAGACACTCACAGGCAAAAATGAATGCAAGTTTCTGTATGATTAATTTATATTTTAAACATTTCTACAAAAAAATATTTATTTAGCTAATACAAATGGGACTTCATTAATTCTTTTAACTTGCTGCAGAAATACCATATACAGCAACTCTGTTGATGCTGTAATTATCGATGCACACCTCTCAGCTTTCTCATGCACCAGCGTGAAATTCACTTGTACCCGACAGAACACTGAGCAATTTTCCTCGAGAGCTTTGACAAGGTCGGCCTGAACCCAATACAAACTAGAGGGCGCAAGCGAAACCATGCGGAGGTGCACTTAGAACAGGAGGGACTCTGGAGTGAGCTCCACAGCAAAGCTTTTGAAGCCAATACTTTGGCTGCTTTTAAGACACGGCTGGATGAGGTCCTTGGATCAATGAGTTATTAACTACCAAACAGGCTTGATGGGCCAAATGACCACCTCTCTCATAAATGTTCTTTTGATCTATTTGTTTTCAATTGCAGAATGTAGACTTAATTACCACTGCAGACTTGAAATAAGGTACATAAAAACTTACATCAAGACTTGGCTACAGTCTAAAGTTATAAATGCCTATGGTGCATTATTGGCTGTACTTTATTATTCTAGATTCTACTCCCAATCAATACAGGAACATTAAGTTCCTCCCTGTAGTACATTCTGTCTTGATGAAAGCAAATTTATGCCACAAAAATTGCTTTACTTATGAAGGTTTTCAGTGGGAAAATGACACAGCATTTTCAGTTACACTTTTCACCAGAAGAATACTTCGTGATGTCTGTAGGGCGATTGGCCAAACTGATGTTATTTGAACTTTTTGGTAATATTTCTATAATTTAAAAGGATTGTGTAAAATAGAGGAAATCACTTAGATTCAGTAAAAGATACATTTTCAAAAGACATGCTGACAATCAAAACTTTTTACATTATCAAACACAGTCTATGCTCAACATAAGCTGCCTCTAGGTTAGGTCAACAGTACATTCCATTTCAACTATTTTACGAACTAACAAGAAAAAACACAAATCACACAAAATACACCGATCTTCATTGGGCCCAGATGAAATCTCAACACTCACAAGAACAGACATTGATTAGATGAAGGAGTCATCCGAATAAGAAATGCTGCTTTTTCCCCCTAGAAACAGCGGCTTTATTTTTGAAAGGCACAGAAACCAGGAAGTTTTGAGCTCTTAATTGAATCACGAGAAATTTCAAACATTTCTTAGCTTTCCTCCATAGAGGAACATTCCTCCATTGAGGTTACTATTGTTCAAAGATACCTTTTGGACTGTTACAGAGAAGAGCCAACTTGTGTAGGATGGCGTGACTCGCAGTTTGTAGCTGTGGATCTAAAAACACTAAAGGAATAACTCCACCACAATGCTGGTTAACCTACTGTAAGTGATCTATAAGTGTACTAACATGTCCATGTACTGACGTGATATAACGCCTTCAGTTGAGGCACAACCCTTTTACAAAAAAGAAATCTGCAAACTATAACTCTCCTCTAAATTCCTTCTTTAAAACACTCCACGACACGGTTCATGTGAAACCTCTGAATTCTCAACATGCTCATAATAATGTCAGAGATTTGTTGCTTTTTCAAATTGACTCAGATAAGCTGTCATCACGAGACCCAAGTCCTGCAGTGATGTTATGAAACCCATTCTGGCAGCATGCTTTTCCGCTAGGCTGGGCAACTCTTGTGAAGGACCGAAGTGAGGGCACCATTAATGCATACCTGCTGTGAGGAGAGGCCTCTGGCTGCCTGTGGAAGGTTAGCTGGAGAACAGGGGGGCCTTTTGTCTAACTGGGCTGGTTCTTGGCACTAGCCTGTCCACCGTCCATAAAAAACACACAGGGATTATACAAAGAATTTAGTCTGGTATGTGGAGCAGGCGGATGAGATTTAAAACAAACAGTGAAGCCAAACAGGCCTACACTCTACTGTACAGTGTTTCAAGTCTGAATAGAATTCAGCATTCTCCATTGGCATGAATGCACATTATGTTCTCTGATGGCTTGTTCCACATTGCAGATATCACACTTCAGAAATTAAACACCTTATTTTGGAGGTCATTCACTTTGAATTTCTTCACTTTTCTAAGGCACAGATTAGGAGCTCTACAGGAGGACTTGGTGAACTATCTGAATATATTTTAATATGAATATTGTGTACTGTATGTTTAAAAGGTTTCAGCACCTGTTTACAAACTGGTGCCACCTACCTATATACATCCTTATCACATTGAGTAAATTCAATTTTTGTGTGAATGCTGTGGTAGTTTGTCAAAGAGGTTGTATAATGTGTGGTCCTGCAGACAACATAAGATGAGTGTTTTCGGTGGCAGTGAATAATATGGGTAACTTACAGTGATAAGGAAGGTGGACGAAATCTGGAGTATTTTATTCCAAAAGAGCACAGGATATGCCTGTCTCGTGAAACCATCCAGTAATAAGAGCAATAAGAAGTGTTTTGTTTGGAAGCCCTCATTGACTTTATTGTGCCATAGAGGATGAGAAGGCTCCCCAGTTCTCCAGCTAGCTGCACCGGACAGTCAATTTGGAAAAGTTTGTTACAGAGGCTCTTGAGTCCAGCACAGGCCATAGGTGTGGGGGTGGGGTGTGAGTGAGGCTAGATCACTTCCCTTGAGTTCCGTATCGCACAACACAGTACCATGCTGAAAACCATTCCAATGATCTAGGGAAAAAACAGAAACAGTCCACAAATTATTGAATGCCTTTTTACCTCATTTCACTTGTTTGAGGAACAATTTCAGCAAATAGTGTCACTTAACAGACCGCCAGTTAGAACAAAACCTTCAGCAATTAACCCCAGGGTTAGGGGTATTGTTCAGGCTACGGTCAGTATTAAAGTTGTGCTATTTTGCTAATATTAAAGTTATAGCTATTTGCTATTAACATTTCAATATAGGCTAGTTTTCAGTCAGGTCACTCCATTACTGTATTTCTTTTAGAAAATCCTGATAAATATCATTTCCAACCTAAAATTAAAGTGTTATCACATTAAATCAAATCGGCAAAGACACTGTTTTTCTAATTTTTTTAAGGAATTCCAGATATGGAATATATAAAGATATCTGGTGGCAGGGCCAGAGTAAATGCGAGTGTGCATAAACTGAATACGTGAACATTTCCCCATCACTGTAATATGTTCAAAACTGGACTCTGAATGAGGCCAAACAGGAAATGTGGTCAAGACTGGTCTGTGAAAAAATCAGCAGCCCAACTGCAGCTGGAGTAGTAATGTTGAAAACTTGGAGCTTGAATCCCTTAGTGACTTCACATTGTGGCATTTCCAAAAGTAACATCTAGAGAATTCTTTCTCTTTTTATCTGTGTCTTGGTATCAGTGCAGTGAGATTAAAACCAATGAACATCTTTTCCAAGTGTTCTTGTTGTCTCTGTACCTCATTCACATTCACTTTGATCTTTTTTGTTACCACATATATTGACAAACAGAATTAAAAAAAAGGGGACAGAAGTGCTAACATTTTCTGCAGGATCGTACAGATATTAGTTGTGTTAGTTAGGCTACCAGATATAACTTATTTTACGAACAGATGCTACATGGGATCTGTAAATGTAATATAATTACTCCACCCTTTTTTAAATGGTACCTGTCCTGTGAGTCTCATGAGAACATTCTTACCATCACTCCAGCAATTCCGATCCCAACATATCCGATGATGTAGAGTTTGGCATTGAAAAAGTTCTCTATTTCTGTGGGACAGTCCTAAAACATACAGATCAGGCTCTGAGTTTCACTCTGGAAGAGACACTACTTGTACAGTTTACACATAAAGCAAATAGTTTGGGGGCAGAAAAAAACTAAACTCCTTCGAAAAAAACAAACAACCTCTTTCCAATCTTAGCAATTGAAATTGACATTAATTAACAGGGAACATTAATATGTAAATTAAGAGCTTACAGTCACAGTCAAAAGTTTCTGGGCAGGAGATTGTTGTTGATTTTAGTTTTAAATAATTCTGTTGTTTTCATCAGTCACACATTTAATTTTATTCAGCACTTCAAGATTCAGATTTGGAAGTTTCTATATTGGCAACTTCTTATATATGAATGTGAATTAATATGAATTGTTGACTGTACAAATAGATTTGTATAATTATTGTAGGCTAATAACTGTGCGAGGTGAGTGTGCATCGATAAGGCCTACAAGCTACAAAATTACACAAGTAAACAGAAAGTAGTGAGACTGAGAAAATGTGTGCATAGGTAAAGTTTAGGACGAACACAAAATTTCACACAAGAGCTGAGCAGAAGCATTTCATAAAGAGAGTCCAAACAAATAATTATTACTGAGATTAGAAAACTGTGTGTGAGAACACGTTAATGCAATTCAGGTGCAGTCAGCACAGCGCATTTTGGTGTGGAGTCCTGAAGCTTGAAGTCTGTGAGCGAAGGGTTAGTTAGCCATGCTGCAGTGTGCAAGTCTGTGTGTGGCGCGAGGAGGTTGGTAAGGGAAGCTTCTTGAATCCGGTTTGTAGGAACTACAGCCCTGGTACTCAAGAGCTAGCTGAGGAACACCCAGAAGGAAGCCCGGACATCTAAGTAACCTTGGAGGTTAGTTCCTGTGAGTTAGGACTGAGTAACACAATTACAGCTATCGCAGGGAAGAAGCTGAAGAGGTTACAGCTACAGTATACCAAGGTTAGGAAAGATATAGAGACTAGAGCCCAGGCTTAGGAACCCTATCTAATCCTACAGAGAATTGCTCAGGGAGTGAGAAACATTCTCTGCTTGGTTACTGCTTTAATCTTTTTTTGGCAAGGGTTCCCTGAAGAAGAAAAATAAAAACCTCAAGCTGACTTGGAGGAGATTATGGCAATGGAAAACAGGTTCTTGGTTAATACACAGTATATCTGGTTAGTGGAAAGTTGGATATCTGGTCCGGGAATGTGCATGTTCTGGGACAGCATGAGCCTTAATTTTAATTTTATATTCTAATTTTATATTTAAAAGTTATCTTTTATGTGCTGAATACTAACCTGTAGTCCTATTTTGCACTGACCCTTCCACTCTAAGGGTGAATAGCTGGTTATGTAGGGTGATATTAATAAGTAATAAAGATAGAAATGGAATATATTTTAAAATATAAAAAAAAAATAATAAAAATGTTGTTTCATTGTAATTAACAATTAATTTAAAAACATCCACCAGTTTGCTGTCAGTCTCAGTCCATTTTCAGAATCAGAATTTTTTCAGAAAAAGTTTTGTTTTAAGGTGTCTGGTTTTTCTTCCGGTCATCACACATTTAATTTTTTTAAACTTTTGTTTTACTTAAATGTCTAAACAATATAGTCTATATTTCTGAAACAATTTTATTATTTGTACTAGTTGTACTGTTTTTCAAAAAATGAGTGTAGACACATACTGTAAGAATACTTGGCAGATTTTACATTTATTTTTAAACTAAGCAAATTACACTACAAAATCATGTCAAAACTACTTAGTATTTCAAGTAAAGATTTTTTTCACACGGAGGAATTAAGTCAAACCACCTGTGCTTTTGTTTTCTTTTAAGAAACCCAATTTCAGACTTAAACAGATAATCCTTCTTGATTACATGTGAAAAATCACCTGATATTTTAATTAAACAGTTCTATCTGATTATTAAAAACAACATTCACCTGAAGACTAATTTGGAAAATAATTTCACCAGAAAACCACAATCCCAATTACTGATTAAAATGTATTTTATATCCTCTGACATTCTCACCAAGATGTAGTCACTCTATGAAAGTTCTGTTTTAAGGACATACTTGTAGCACTACTGCTCAAACAACTATTGACAGACGTAATAGTATTAAACGTCAAATTACTGAAGTTACACTCCCTTTCTAGATGATGACTGTAACATTGCTACCACTGGCTCCTTTCCCTACTAGATACAATTTGCAACTCTATGCCTGGTAATATTAGTTCATATATCTCATGGTATGACAGTAAGTTTAATTCACAAGCTCATATGCAGAACTGGAACAAAAGATAAACATAAAAAAATTACCTTCAACTTTGATTCTGATTCACTGCTACACATCTGGGTTTTTTTCTCAATGGTACCACAGCACTGGAGCTTGAAAAGATTAAGCAATATAAAACAGACATTTGTACATAATTATTTTATTAAATAAATTAAAAAATACAGAATTACAACAGAATTACAGACTCATGTCTTAACACAATTACATCATACTGCATCAGTTCCGTCTGTACATTCCAAAATATGCTAATTATGGTGCAACTATTTCAGGGAACCTCTAGAAATGTCTGAAAAAAGGCTGAATGATTAACACTTTTTTTAAACCTTTAGTTTTGAAGCTTTTATTTTGAAACCTTTTCACATTGTTCTGAGCCACTAAATTCTGTCTCACTCATAAAGCTACTCCAGGTAGTACTTTTTAAGGAATAACTGCAGATATCTGTCACCTGCAAAATAATTAATTTCTAGTCTATTTAGCAACATTTCAGATTCATTACACAGTCCCTCATAAATTCTTTTTAAATACTTTTAATATTTTTAACTACTATTAACTTTATTTTGAGACAGAGAAAGTGGAGCTAATTGTACACACATTTTTCCAAGTCATGTATTTCTTACATGATATCACATTCAGATTTCTACAACCACACACCTGAGGGGCTGAATGATTTTTTTAGTGGATATAAAATTTCAATCTTTGTTAAATATATGGCAGGGACATTATCCTAAACACAGCTCGGATCAATCTATAAATACAAACGAACAAGTTAAAGGTTTATTCCATGCTGAAAAGAAGGCTCCACAGCCAAAACGTTGTCTTTCCTTTCTTCTCTTTTCAGCATGGAATAAACCTTTACTTATTCCTTTGCAGCCTACGCATGCTGTCACAGCTACCTACTTGAACTACTATAAATAAAAATACTCTGTATATTAGGCTGCCTATGATAGAAGCTGTAAGACAATGTGGAAGAATATAAATAAATGAGAAATTTGCTTAAATTAAACAATATTTCTCAGGCATGCTATTTGTATACTTTAAGATTTAAAAATGTAATGATGTTCCATTACCAAAATATTCTTATAATTTTATTGTCCTAATTCTGTTGAAATTGTTTTGGTTAAAAAAAAAACAACAGAAATAAAAGCAAAAAAAAAACAACACATGAAAGATCAAAATTAAATTTACAACAGTGAAAATCTAGGTAATGCTCTTAATATGTTTGTATTACATTACATTCAGTACTGTATTACATATCACTTTGTACATATTATGTAGTACTGTAATTTCTCTTCAGTAAAAGTTTTAACAGTAACAGTTACAGTTTTTATAGAATTAAAATAATATTATGCAGATAAATACTTACAGCTTCATGAAAAACTATCAGGGTGCTGTTATCACTTTGATTGTCGTTTGCCGCTGCAGTGTACACACTCTTAATTTCTTCAATGATCTGAAATAGTTAAAAGATTGTAATGAATTCCCACGATTTCAAGAAAACACAATAATAATTCCAGAATGATAAAACCACATATCCAAGCAATAAGAACTATTTATATTTATGTAGCGTTTTTCATCCAAAAGAGTCTCACAGGGTACTTCACATACAGTACACTAAGGGACCCACTTATCCACCACTGAATAGCAGCACCCCCCAGAATGACACATGGTGACCTTTCTACAGAATATCAGCAGGTCAGGTAAAGAGAGAATCATTTACCAAATGAATTAAGGCCGGCTAGGATGAGGAAGCCTGGAGTAGGGCCAACACCTTTCTTTTGAAAAGTGCCATGCATGGGATCTTTCATGACCAAATAATCAGGAACTTTGACTTAATGTCTCATCCGAAGGACATCACCTCCGGGCTACCACACTGGGGTGGAATTTCGGGGCCAGAGGGAAGGGTGACACCTACTGGCCAAAAAGCACCACTTGCAGCAGCAACTCCGTTTTCCTTAGCGGTCTTTCACCCTAGTACTGACCAGGCTCACCCTCACTTAGTTTCTAAGAGCTCACAAGATTAGGCCACAAGGGACAAAATCTATTGCTATACCAGTTAAATCATACATTCACAGCTGCAATTAATAAATAATTTTAAAATACAACATTCTGGTTTCAAGTTTAAATCGCATTCATAATTTTCATTTCAGGAGTTTGGTCATTTTTAGTCACACCAAAATACTGTAAATAAACGAAAATACAGCCTGGCTTTGGAAATGACAGACATTATGTGGAATGAACTAGGGAAGCAGAGGTAAGGTAAAGGGAGAGGAGGTAGAAAATATGCACTACTGTTATTCCTTTGAAGAGAAAAGTTGCTTTGTTTTTTCTAGCCCATCACCGACATCTAAAGTGGCTCAAAGCTGCTATTTTGACAGACTCCTATAACTTCTCTGGAACTGTACCTTGTTTTTGTTCATGAATCCAAACACGCCAGCTGCTATTTCTGCCGCAAAGATAACCAAGAGACAGGCGAAAAACTGTAATGGAGAAGGAAGAGAGTGACTGGACTGAAAAAGTATGTCATATTAACTTTTATAAACTGAGAACATTATTCGATTCTATTCAGCTATTGTCAAATTGCTGTTGCTCATATTTCCTCTTAATTGCTATATAATAGAAGCAGACTTTCAATATCCTCATGTTTTCTATGTAAGCCAATGCAAATACATAAAATAAGTTATTGATTGTATAAAGTAGATTTGATTTGCAGTTGCAGGAATTTGTGGATGTTTTACTACCTCAGCCTTAGCAATGTAAACTCATACTGTAGGTCCAGTCACACAATGTTAAGGGAAACGCATCCTACATTTTTGTGTTTCTGCTGCAAACATAACCTAGAGAAAGTACACCAGAAAGCTATTGCTTATCAAAGCACTGTTATTTATCACTAACATTCAGTTAAAACCACTATTTGTAAGCCACTGAATCAATAGCACTTGATAATCTGAAGTACCACAAGGCCAGTTCTCAGGGTGCTCTTACTCACCGATCCCAACAAGCATTGTGACTCTCTTACAGCACCACAGCATCCGAAAAATCCCACCAGCATCATCAGTCCTCCAGCTCCGATCAGGATGTACACACCTGCAGAGAACGATGGGGAACAGCAAGACTGACAGTGAGGCATGGACGTCCTTTTGAACTGTCCCCATCTTGAGTTGCCCAATTGATCCTGCTTTTCTGTAGTTTGATAAAGCCTTAATTTGTGGTCCAACAGTACTTCTATGTACCATTATTGGCCCTTCTGGGGTTCTTTTGAGACTCTTAAGGGTAATCACCAGATTAAATTCAACCAGATCACATTGTTTGTTTGAAACATCTAAAATGAACTATTACTATACAGATGCTATGAATAACTGGAATATTACCTTGGTGGAGCCCCATACAGTATCTCTCTGTAGACCCTGCAGCACATTAACCTAGGATGAACGCAGCTACTCTTCATTTCCATCTGATTGTCTTTATCTTTATACAAACTAGACCACTGTCAGAGCTCCAAAGGACACAAAGTCCTTTCCAACTGCCATTTATCTACATAGATTTTAAATGTCATTCATCTTCTAAGACCATGTCATTCTTTTCTGTCTTTAGACATGATTGCAACATCTGAAGATATTACTATAATTTATTTCCCTCTACCCATCCATTTCCTAAACCCCCTTTTCAAGTGCAGGATCGCAGGGGGAGCTGGAGCCTAGCCTGCCAGGCAAAGGTGGGATACACCCTGGACAGGACCCCAGTCCATCACCGCCCTGTTTATCTTGGCATCAAAATATCTTTTCTGAATTAAACTGAAAAGAACACAATGATTTAAAAGTTTAAAATGAATAGTCCCATAATCACTTTCAGTTCCTGTTCTAAATACACAAGTAATGTAATGTCCCATAGGCCACAATGAGTCAGGTTTGATAATGCAATTATTGCTTCAGTTACCATATACGGCTTCAATGAAGAGTAGATGACAAAGTAGGTTAGAAAACTATCATGAATATATTACATCACACACTACTGCAATGCAAAGATAATCTTGCATACGATATGTTTTCTGGCCCCCTAAGTATTAATCTAATTTCGACATCAAATAATCATTGAGTTGTAAAATATCATTTCAGTAGCAGACTGGGTTCTTGTTCTTTGCCATATGAGTTTTATATGTGGTATAAAGTGTTATTATAAGTTAAGTTACTAGTTTGCAGTTCACCCTAAGACCACAAGGTAGCAATCTTGTACAAGGTTTAACGGTAATTTACAATACTTAAAATCTTCTCAGGATTAAAAGTTATTGTATGTGCATCTGAATTTGCTTAAAAAACTACTTGTTTTTTTAACTTGTCTCAGCTTAGTTTTAAGCAGGTATGTCATCTCTGGTAAAATGTAAATGCAGTTGTAAAAACAGTAACTGCTTCATAATCACTACACACAACAACATGACTACACACATATTACTTTACATTTGTACAAAAGAAAATCTGATTAAAACAAAAATCAGAATTTCATGTAGAGAGAAGCCAGGTGACACTGATGGAACACAACACAAAAAGACTGGAGAGCTGACAAGGACTTTTTGCTGGTTATGTTTATATAAAAAGTTAGATTTTATTACATGTTGTTTTTATTTTGATGTATGCTGCATTTAACCTCAATCAACATTTAAATACGATGCAAGTCCTTTCAAAAAGCCAGTCTGTATATTCAGCTAAATCAAGCTGTGCCTACAGTGCACTCACTCAAGTAACCTGCATGCACCAGCATGCTTCTTATGCTGTTGTCTCATTAGGGAAATCTGGACTCTGTGGGTTTTATGCTCAGACTTTTGAAACAGAAAAGGTGAAAATACAAATCTGTAGTCCATAGAGCTGTTTGTAAAGTGGGACCTGCTGAAATGTAGAAAGTAAGTTCAAATGAAGAAGGAAATTATTTCAGAAAAAAAAATCAAGAAAAATGTGATTCTGGATTTGATGGCATTGTTTTACACTTTGTTCATGTTTCAATAAGAATGTCAGCAATTTCAGCCAGTAGAAATATATATACTATAAAGATACTGCACCAGGGTTTTTTATAACAACAATCTATACAGGAAGTTTGTGTTCAGTTTTAATATAAAAATAATAATTCTGTGGCCAGAGTGTTAAATTCAGCAAGTGAACTACAGTAGGTCACTGCAGGTGCAGAGTCTTCAGACAGCACGTTTTGCAAACTGCATTCATGACTAAACACGGATGTTATAAATAAACGTTTCCTTTCTCCTGCCACCAAAATGCTCCTGTAAAGGTTTGATTTTCTGTGCTCCAGCACTCACTCTTAACTGAACTGGAGTAGAATCATGCCCAGCGGCTTGAAAACCCTACAAAGAAATATACTTCAGTATAGGCAGACACTAGAAATCTAAAAAAGGCAGGATACAGTAAAGACAGAGTACCTTGGCAATACCAGACTACGTATAAAAAACAGAAACTATAAGGATTGTCCAGTGCAGTCTCAGTGGATAGGAACAGTTTGTCAGTCAGGCTTTTCTTGGTTAAACTATTCTCGGTCTGATATTCAGCAGTGACCCTCTGAGAATCTCCCAGCACCTTTTAACTGGCAGTTATCATGGAGAACTGTAATGCCACACCACAGGATTCTAGCTCTCCTGTAAGGCACTGTGATACTGCAGCGTGTAAAATGACAAGCTTCTCTAACAACACCTCTAACACCTGTTTCAGCTGCTCTCTTTTGCAACATGCTGGTGTGAGGACTGCAGCAAGGTATGACTAGCAATTAGCTGCCAAACCGAGAAGATAATTAAGACAAGTAATGACAAATAACCAATGATTCAAGATCAATATGAAAGGGTTGTCTTCAAGCTAATAAAAAAAATCAACAAAAAATAACGTGACCAAAGTTTTTAATTCACATCCAGAATGGATTAAGGGTCTAGAGTTAAGATGTTACTAAGATAATGCTGTGCAAAGAAAGATTTAAACAGGTTTTCTGATTATATACTGTATTTACAACAGAGAATTACTCCAAATGGTTATGAAAGTCAAAAAAGAGTAGTGTATTTTATTCTTCTGAAAAGAATGGACAAAAAATTATATACAAGTTAATGCCTTCTGGCATTTTATATACAGTACTATCACAATATACATATTTTAAAATGTCATTGTCATTTTTTGCACATCACATCTTATCTCGCAGCTATAAACCTCACAGTCTCACACAAGAGAGAATGAGGAGGAGTGAGTAGACCCCTCTGACCCGCCCACCTCTGAGCCACTCATCTTTTAACACAACACAGGCACCAGAGCCCCTAGAGGCTGAAGACATCTACTTCGCCGACAGGACCACTGAGAGATCTCTAACTGACTCACCCCACCCTAACTTCCTGGGGAATCTCAGTCACAGTCGGCTAGTGACCTCACCCAATCACGAACCCGAGATAATAGCGCTTAACCTGCTCTTGGACGAGAGCCTACCAACTGAGACACTCAGAGATTATTATTTTATTGACTGCACTGCACCAAAAGGTATAAACACAAGTTATATTATTAAATACTGTATGTGTAGTGGATATGCATATATTAAAAAATATTCTTAATTAATATGAACTCTTTTGCATACTGTGCCCTTTCAAAGGATGAATCCATCAACTACTAATAGAAGGCTGCATACACAGTCCCTTACCAACAGTGCTAGCAACATTCCCTCCTGAGGCCAGATGTCTAATTGCTGAATACTCACAGGCATCTGAGTTCAGTCTCCTGCCCAACTATAGTATGTGTGCCTGTACCACGCAACTATACTCGCCCTACTCCCCACCTCGCAACCCCCACTCTTCAAATTCTGTCCTCCTTACTGTCCCCCAAGCCTGTCTACATTGTATGGGTGACAGGGCCTTCTCCTGTTATGCCCCCAAGCTGCCCCCAAGCTCTGGAACTCTTTGCCCAAGGATATCAGAGAGTCACCTTCTCTAAACTCCTTCAAATCCAGACTCAAAACCTTCTTCTTCAGAAAAGCCTTTACTTAACTGGTTCCATTCTTCACCCATCTGCTCTTCTTATTACCACCTTCCACGGTCTCCTCTATTATTATTGTTGTAATTGTAATTGTGTCTTATCTTGTGTATTCTTCTTATTTATTGTTATTGTCATCCTGTAAAGCGCCTTGAGAAGCCACCTTTAAAGACGCTATATAAAATAAAGTTTATTATTATTATTTTATGCACATCTCTGTTTTCCTTGACAATTTAATAACAAAACCTTTTGAGGACTTTTCTTCATACATAAAGGACACCAACCACACTCTCCGGCTGTTTGAAGGTTTTGATTCTCGGGTTCCATAATTCTTCATCTTAATCACATCTCTGTTCAGCCGACATTCCCCATCATAATGGTCTCACAGTTGTCAGACACATTCAATCCACCCATATCAGAGCAACTGTATTTCTTGTTACCCTGGATTTTCTCTCAATGATTATTTTCTGCCACCATGTCAGTGGTGTCAGTGGTGTTGGCCGTGGGTACCAAGAACTTTATATACTGTATGAAGAAGATAGAACCAGACTTCTACACAGTTGAAAACCACCATCTATCTGTCAAATGCCCTGTTGATGTACCTATTAATACTCTGCCTTTTGTAGACAAAAATATTTCTGTCAACTACCCAGGAATACAAACCTCTGTGTATTACAAACCCCACAGCTCACTTTTTACAGTTATCACCTTTACAGCTCTCACCCAAACAGACAGGTAACATACAGGAAAGCCTCTTCCTTTCAGTCTTTGTTGTTAATGCAGCCTTGAGACTGACTTACCCAACTAAGCCCTTTTTCATTGATGGGGATTGTCCTTCGCACACCACTGACCAAGCCCTCACCTGAGCTAAAAGCATCCTCACAACATCTAACCCATGAGACACATGTAAGCCCTGTAGCTGCCAGCCAGCCCAGGCAGTTTGTGAGACAATAGTAAACTTTTTATCTCCAGAATATACATCTACAACAGCATGCATATACAGTATAGTGTATCTGTCCACTTCAGGATCACCCAAATCATGTGCAGTTACTCAATGATTTGCCTTTTTTCAGGAAACAGGAGGCTAAT